GGACTGGGCACCAGAGGCACTCGTTCCACCAGGCACGGGTGGCAGCGAGTCTCCTTCATCTGCTCAGCTGGCCTGCATCCCCTGCAAGCATCCCTGTAACTTAAGGCCACAGCTTGGAAATTCTCCGGTGCCTCTAGCACTGGGGCTGGGGGGGTGCTCCCTGATGACAGCTGAATGTCCCCGGCCCAGGCTGACATGCTGCAGGCATGAAATATCCAGCCAGGTTTCTCACCCAGCATTTAAAAGCCGCAGATGGACGCAGACATGAGCCCTTCTTTGTCACCATCACCCAGCAAACTGCCCACAGTCCTGCAGGGACATCAGCCACAAACCCTGGGGCAGCCGCTCCTCAGCCTTGTGGGACAGGCAGGACATTCCACATCCCCCAGATTTTCCAGGCGCTGGGCAGAGCTCAGAGACACCACCCGAGTCCTATGATTGGTTTATTAGTCTAGTAAAAACACTGCCTGCAAAGGAATGTGTTAGCTACACCTGACATGGGGAGGAACCACAGGCTCTGCCAAGCCTGGCCAAAGCTGCACAGGGACCCTGGCCGGCCTCCCTCCCAGCACAGCCCATTCCACTGTCCCCTCCTTGCAGCAGCTGTGCCGGCAGGCACCTTGGCTATTGCTCAGCTCTAGGATGGGCAGGGCAGAGCCCTCCGAAACCCACAGCACCTGCAGGCAGGGTGGGGGAAGGCAGCTGCTGGGCCTGGGGACAAGCCAGACCACCAGCATCCCTGCCGGCAGATCCACTGTGGTCCCCAGGGAGCGGCGGGGCTGGAAGACCCTTCACAGCTGTTTAGCTGGGCACCCTCCTCTCTCCCCATGTCTCCCACCTCCCCAGCAAAAACCCATCCCGGGCTGCTGTCAGCGGGGATGGGGACGCCAGTGAGGGCACGTCTGCTGCCCGTGGGCAGGTCACACCCCACTGGCTGACCTCGGCTGGGAGCAGGCAGGAGGGCAGGCAGGGACGCACACCCGGCGAGGGGGGCCGTTTGCCTGGCAGTGTTGGTGCTAATGCTGGAGAGGACTGACAGACAGACCAGGGACAAACGGACAGACCATGCAGACCCTCTCGTGGCTCATTAAACTGGCTGCTGGGACAGACAGGTACCAAATGCCCTCCTGAGGCTGGGGACACACGGCACCCCTGGGCCACCCCTAAAGACACCCAGACCGATAACTCTCTGGTCTGCTGGCAGGGCCTGCTCGGGGACAGGCACCCGTGCCAGCCCCGCTGCCTCCCCTCTCTGAGCCCCCGACCGGCCCCGCTCAGGTCTGCAACACGGTGGCCACTGGCCTGGGCCACGAGCGCCAGGGAGGAGCCCACAGGCTGTCCCCAAACACAGGGTGCACTCGAGGGCAGGGCTCCTGCTGTGCTTGCCGGCCACTGGAACAGGCAGGATTGTCCCTGTAGCATGTCCCTAGCCACTGTCTCTCCATCCCCACAGTCACTGTGGGCATCCGCAGGGACTTCACACACCAAAACCACACAGAAAAAGCGCTGTGCCCCGTGTCACGGCCCCTGTGAGCAGCTCGGCATCCCCTCTGCTCTCATCCTGCCCCATCCACTGCCCCAGTCCCAGCGCAGGACTCCACGCT